ATATATACCTTACATTGTTTGAAACCATTTTGCAGTAAATCCACTTGGTTTGTTGTATTGCTGTGTTCCTGACAGCGGTTTGTGTGTCTGCAGGTCCAAATCACGCTGACGACACACGACTGTGGCGGTCTGTCCAAGCGGGACATCAAAATGGCCAAATTTATTGACAAAATTGCCTCGTCCATGTAATAGAAACAAAGTGATCTTCTGATTTTGTTTCAAATATCTGTTAAATTGATGTAATTTGTTATATTTTATAACATATTAATTATGATTTTGTATAAAAATAAAGCTTTGTTTTTTGTGAGCGCTGCGTCAGGTCTTCATTAATTTCTGATGTGTTTGGTTGTGTTAGAATCAGATCTGATAAGTGCAGACACAGCTTGTATTAAAACACATCCTCGCTCTGCTGTAGGATCTATTTTTCCAGCCTCAGTCCTCCCTGAGGCCACGTGTTTTTGTTCTGGCGCTGCAGGCTGGAGCAGAACGAGGTCAGCGTCAGTAGGAAGGGGATTTGTTTGATTTACAGTTTGGTAATGGATGCCATTAGAAAACCATCAGTGAGTAAAAATAAGTGTAAGTCCATGTTAAAGGAAGAACGGCACCACAAACAGCTGAACGTGTGATGCTTTTTCTTTCCTTAAATATTTATCTTTGCCTTAAAGCATCTGTTGAACATCTCCTGCTCTCTGCTGGTTGTGGTTACTCAGGACAAATCTGACTCTACAAACAAAAAGAAACTGGCTTTGTTAATCTTTCATGATTACATCAGAGTGTATGAACATATGGAGGTAAATTTGTGTTTTTATTATTCAATCAAACAAAAAGAAACTAGCTTTGTTAATCTTTCATGATTACATCAGAGTGTATGAACGTATGGAGGTAAATTTGTGTTTTTATTCAATCAAACAAAAAGAAACTGGCTTTGTTAATCTTTCATGATTACATCAGAGTGTATGAATGTATGGAGGTAAATTTATGTTTTTTATTATTCAATCAAACAAAAAGAAACTGGCTTTGTTAATCTTTCATGATTACATCAGAGTGTATGAATGTATGGAGGTAAATTTATGTTTTTTATTATTCAATCAAACAAAAAGAAACTGGCTTTGTTTATCTTTCATGATTACATCAGAGTGTATGAAGGTTCCTAAACTCATTTTCTCCTTTATAGCAGAAACAACGTCCATCAGATGTTCCTCTTGGCTGCTTGTGGAGCTCACACAGCAACGAGAGGAAGGCTGGACCATTC